GTTTTCGAAAATACAATATAACCGTGCACGTATACCCTGAATCTGATAACTCATGTAAAATACCCGTAAAATACGAATTTTAACAATTTCGAGGTACCGCGGAATCTACAACACGAAATACCAACAAAAGTGAACGAGAATTTTCGAATTCGCATTATTCTACATTATGATATTATTCTCTCGTCGTTGAATCACCAGCCTCGTATCGTGTTAACGCATTAATCCAATACTTTTACTCGCGAACGACAAAGGCCGGAAATACGAAGAAAAAAAATTTTCACGACATTATTAAAAATCACGATTCAATTACGAAATTGGAAAAAAAGAATTAAAAAAAAAATCACGTACATTATAGCGAGCGCGGAGTAATAGCTCCCCCACCACCCTCCCTCCCTCCCCCTAAAAATGACAACAACGAGAGATCGTTTCCGTTAAATGTCTGATACGAGGAAGATGTTCAAGTACCACGTCTACTTATATATCCGCTATTATTCCTTTAGACGTGGAATTGTAACAATGGTTTCTGAATACCGTCAAGACGGCTCGAGTGGTTGGTTCGCTGCCCAATTATAATAGAGGCTCGAGTGGCCCGCCTATAAATAATTAAATACGGCACAATACGGCGCCACGGGTAAAAAGACCAAATCCCGTTTTCCACGATAAACCTCCACGTCCACCACCGCCTCGTAATCCTCGTCGTGCTTCACGTTTCTGTTTAAAATATCACCGCAATTAGCGATACCGTGTCCCGATAAATAATACCGCGACTTCGAGTGCGCCAAATTGCCTTTCGATCGATGAATTTCATTATATCGTATAATTTCCATGCCACGGTTACAATGGAGAGAGAGAGAGAGAGAGAAGAGAGAAAGGGAGGGAAGGGGGATGGTTATCCTCCTACGCTCGCGTATAGGTCTACGCTACGTCTGTCCGTATCCTATTGGAAGAGAGATATTTCTAAAGTGTGTAATTGCCGGGACGATTATCGAGGCCGATTGTGTAAAAGCGATCTATATGTACGTATAGATAGATCTTTCTGAATCGCGATTACAAAACCGGAAGAAGGTATCGAACGATGGTAGTTTCGCGACACGACAATGGATTTCCAAACTCGTTTTAACTCGTTTCTGTTAATCGAAAGAATTCATTTATCGATTAAATAATTTGAGAGTATGAACGACTGACTGTTATAGATTTCCATAAAAAAGCATTTCCGTAACGTAAAAAGAAGAAATGGATTTCCAAACTCGTTTTATTCGTTTGTTAATCGAAAGAATTCGTTATTGATTGAATAATAATTTGAGAGAAGTGAATGAACGACTAACTATTATTAGATTTCCATAAAAAAAAAAAAAAAGACATTTTCATAACGGTAAAGAAAAAGGAAGATGTAATATTGAGTTGAGAAGTAGAGATAATACGCAGAGCAACGATAAAATATTGAAAATAAAATTTCGATAAATGATGGAATGAAGAAAAAAAGCTCGATCGAGGATTATTACATTTTCGAAAACAGAGGGAGGTGGAAAAATTGTATTCCTCTCCTTTGTTCCAAATAGGAAATATACCGGAAGCTATATACGTGTTCTCGCCCCATCAGCCTTCTTCTTTCGCCGCTTTCGCCGTCCTCTTCTTCCTTATCCATTACCGTTTTCCCCGGAAACACGAAACTGGGTCCCGGTGGCTACGTAGCTACATAAACTACATTTTCGTTCCTTATTTGCATGATCATGGACCTCCTTATCTCTCTCTCCGCTCTTCTATTCCGTATTCTGTCGAGGTAACGTTGCCTTGTGATTAAGACGAAATTTTGATACGCCATTGAATCGATGCAATTTCTTTATCATTGGAGAAGAGAGGATATGGACAAAGGACGAATTTATACGAATCGAATAAAACAATGTTTCGAAATGAAAAGGAATAGGTCGTGCACGAGTGTCCCTTTCGGGAGGAACGAAGCGAATTTTTCAAAGAATCCTTGGTAGGTCAAAGGATCCTGCTGGTATTCTTTGGTCGAAAATGTTGTTTATTACAAAATTCTGAGAAAGTTTCTGGGAATCTTCATCAAATACAATGGAATGTTGTATAGTCTCTACGTTATGCAAATTGATCGTACCTCGCCAAGTATTCGTGGAAAAGTAGAATGTTCGGGTAACAAGAGATGGTTTCCGAAATCTACTTCGTCATTACACGATAAAACTCGGTCTCTATAGAGGAAAATCAATCGAATTGGAGGAAAAGTTCCCTCCTCGTTGAAAACTTGCGTTTCAACGAGGAGAAGCTCGAAGTAAATATCAACCGGGATTGTATCGTAAGCGTGGAAATTATATTTGCGACATTATAATTGCCGTCGACTTCTTTGGAAACTTGTTCCCAGAAATCCAAAGAACACTCGGGAACTCCGTGGAAACTCTTCGCGGAAAGAGAAATCTGAAAGTGGAGTCAAGCGGCTTAAGAAGAAATTAGCCGGTGTTCACGCTGAAACGAGCCAAACTGGGGCAGAAAATTTGTCACCGAGGTGAAAATCGGGAAATTACTGCTTTGCTACACGCTGAATTACAAGAATTTCCCGAAACGAAACAATGAACCTTTAGTAAATCAAAGTTTCGCAGAAACAACCCTTACACCCTATATTTCACGTACTATTAACCCTGCTTCTAAAATTATTTTCGCAAAATCGTTTCGTTAAGAAACTCAATTTCCCAATTTCTAATTGCTCGCTCCTTAATTAGCATTAAATTTAAAAAAAGATTCAAGGATTTCTTTTTAAAAAAAAACTAAAAAATTTCGAATGTTCGTGATTACGCTAAATTTATCCATTCATACGAAATTCAAATATGAATGCGTGTGATACGCAAAGAAACATAAAAGATGATACATATGTATATCAATTCTCGATAAGTATCTCTCATAACAATTGTTATTTAAAAATATAACAAAAAATATATATATATAATTTACTTTAAAATATCTATTCTTGAATAGAACTAACTAATATAAAGATTGAAATATATCTTTCAATTCCACTTTTAAATTCGCATAAAAGTTCACAACAGTTTTTCTTCCTAACTTTAATCTGACGATCGTATCATTTTCGTCATGTCGTCCACTCTAACATCTAAAGAAAAAATTTCAAGAAGAACGCTCGAATTCTGTCGCTTCTAGAGTCACGTTTTCCCCTCCGCCTATTCTCCCCTTACTCGACTCGTTACGTCTTCTGATATAATCCTCCCCAATAACCGGAAACAGCATTGGCGCGTGCGTGTCGACAGTCGCTCTTAAGCGGACTGCGATTGTCATGGATGTTTCACGGGTCTGGTACATACGTTCCGCTCGATTCCCGCGTTACACGTGTACATATATATAAGATGTGTACATATATATATAAGATATATATATATATATAGGAGGCCGCATTAACACGCGAACAATCAGGTGTACACGAAATTTACACGGGTGCGCTTAATGTGGCCGAGCGAGAGGAAACCAGCGTGAAAAGCTGTTTGCCAAGCCCCATTGTCGTAGACATGGGAGCACGCGCGCACGTTAAATATTACGTGTGCACATGTACGCTGTGGCACAGGTGTAACGTGCACTAATCAGAGGATAGATGTTTCCGGGCAGCTGCTCCCCCCCCATGGGGAGAGCATAGTTTTCGCTCGTGGAAAAGAAAAGTGGATCGCGAAGATTGGTGTCTTCTTTCGGTGGAAATCGGGAAAAGAAAAGGGGTGAGGGTGAGGTGAATGTTGAAGATAATTTTGAACGGATGGTAACATTCGATTGGGGGAAGTGTATAGTGATTGGATGACGAGCATTGTGAAATTTGACGAAAGTTTCAAAGTATTAGAAAGGATTAATGAGATAAATTTATGAAGATTGGTGGTCTCCTTTTTTGTGGAAATTGGATGAATTTGAAAATAATGTTGAAATTTGATAAGGGAACGTGTTGGAGAAATTTGGAGAAGAATGATAGAAAGGATGAATGATTGGGATTTTGAAGTTTGATGAAATTTGAAAGTATTAGAAAGATATTGTGTTCTAGGAGAAGTGTAGATAGCATGAGTTGAATTTATGAAGATGAAGAAGTCAGCTTTTCTGTGGAAATTGAAGGAGAGATGAAAAGAGTAAATTGTGAAAGCGTTTGGGCTTTTGAAGTAATTTTGAAAGTGAAATTTTGAGATTTTATAAGGAAATGTATAATATTTGATCGAAGAAGAAAGATGGAATGATGAATGATAGAATGACGAAGTTATTAAAGATAAACCAAGATTTTGAAGTTTGATGAAATTTGGAGATATTAGAAAGATTCCATTATGTTGATTAATGCTCCAGTGGAAATTTAGATAATATGAAAATGAATTTATGAAAATTGACGTCTCCTTTCGTTGAAAGTTAGAAGAGAATTCAGGGGTCAGACAGATAAGGGTGACTTCGAAAGTAGAGTTTCGCGGTTTGATATGATTTCGAAAGTGTTACGGAGGTTCAATGACCGTGATTCTGTTCTAATGGAATTGTAGATAGAATGAATTCACACAAAGATTGGTTCTTTCGTTGGAAATTGGAAGATGGGATTGTGAAAGAAGGGAGGAAAAAGTGAAGTGGAGTCGAGAAAAAGGGTCAATGGTAAGAACGATGAACGTTGAAGATAATTTTGAAAGTAGGATTTTGAAGTTTGATGAAGCTTAAAAGTATTGTAAAGATATCTTTGATGATGTTGAAAATACTTTTGAAAATTTATGTTCTAATATATAACCGCGGATGAAGATGAAATCAATTTATAAAGATTGGTATCTATTTTCGTTGGAGTTATTTAATAACGATTGGTTTGAAACTAGAACTTAAAAACAGACCATTTTTATCGTTAAAAAAATAAAAGAAAATTCTGATACTTAATTAATTAGAGCCGTGATTAAAAAGAATTATACGGATACGTCAAAGTTTGTCCATTCACAAAAGAAAAAGTCGATATATGAAATGTATATTTTCCACGTTTGTTTCAGATGGAACGAAAGAATTCCCCGATGAACGATGCAATTAAATCGTAATTGGATGAAAGTCCTTTTGTAGCGGCCATCATCATCGGTCTCTCTTGATATCCTCCACCTCTTCGTCTGGCTCTTCGCGATTCTGGTAAGTAAATTGCATTAATTAAAGCATATTCGAAACATACACGAACGTCCTAATGAACTGAATCCAGGTAATTAATCGTAACGATACATTGTTATTCGCGAAAGACACGCAGAACCCATCGTGTAATTCTTATACCTCTACCTCCGATCAAAATCGGATCGCAACGGCCCAGCCGAAATTAATTAGTGTCATTAACTGAGAGAAAGCGTTAACGAGACGTTCTTTCGTATATGCGGTCAAAAATCGGCGGAATATCAAGTTCGATGAATCGGGACGATCGAATATCGGGAACGATATTTCCAAATAGTACGTTTTTAATTGTTTCGAAATTAAAAAAAAAAAAAAAGACAGTTTTGACTATGAATGAAAGATAGAACGAATACTTTTAAAATATCTTTTACAAATTATCGCAATTTTTTTATCCTAATCGGGAATCCATAAATCGCAAAATCTTCAAGAAAATTTTAGTTCTTTAAAATAGATCTCGAAAAATAGTTCGCACGAACTATACAATTTTTCAATTGATCGTAAAACGAGAAACGAGAAGAAAAAATTCCAATTCGAAGTCCACAAAGGAAATATCGAAAATCCGTGAAAATCTCTCGAGAAGGCGCGATGCGACCCAATTGAAAGTGTTTTAATTTCGAAACGTTTCCTCGCGCAGGGAGGAGGGAGAGACCCATCGAGCACGCCATTATGATAGTCCAATTACGAGATATTACCCCTTAGAGTTGAAGTGTTTGAGGAGTGGTGGCCGTGGCGGCGGTAGTTCAATAGGCACTCGAGCAGGAGCTTGAAGACCCTTTCACCGTTCGAGCCCTGTCCGATCGTAAGTTATGAAACGCTGAATTTCCTAATTAATTCATCCCTTTCGATTCACGCCGATAAAATGGACGTTCGACTCCCCCAATTTCTTTGACCGTTCCAGTAAAATCGATCCTTAACAGAGAAACAATCGAGAACGATGGTGCAAAAATCTTTATTGGATTTCGTTTAACGAAACGATCGAGAACACGCAACACGAGTTGTTAAACTTGTTTCGAGGATAGTTATACGTTGAGAAAGTTATAGGGAGGATTAAAACCTTTAACATCTTTGATTTGTTTTCAAAGTATTTACTTTGGTATTTTTATACAATTATAGATATATAATTTAATCTCTGATTAATTTGGAATCTTAATTGGAATTTCGATGCATACGTAGCGAGAAAATAAGAATAGGAAGCTTATTTATGTAAAAGATATATAATTAGAATATTTTTATATTTCTGTATTATATGAAAAAGCAGAAATGAAATTTATAATTATAATATATAATTAGTAGAATTAATTGAACGAGAGAAAGGAATTTTCTTATTACGCTCGCTCTTACGTGGAATGAAAAATTGGTAAAAAAGATATGAGATTGAAAGAAGCAGGACGTATGTCCTATTATACGTATGACGTAACTTATTTTCTATGAAAAAGAATTTTTAATAAATTATCCCAGGTATAACCCGCTCGCTCTCGATTTATCCGAGCTACCTGGCTCTTTGATTAAAGGTCGTCACACACCATTTAATAGCACGACACGTGAACGACATCAGCATCGACATATTCATATTATTACATATATTTTAATAGAAACACGTCCATTTAAACAGCGCAGCATCGATAGCTGCATGAATGTTTTGCACGTTATATATTGACGTATAAGCGGAATGTATAACGAAAAGTTAATAGAATTAGTTTGCCGCTATTTTTGTATTATGTAAATCGTGGTTAAATATGTATTGATATCAATTCAATATGTATGTCATACGTTTAGCGTTCATTAAATAATGACGATGCATCACGATGCATGGATCATTGATCGCTTGTTTTGACATTATGCTATTAAACTAAACCGATCAATTTTGTCGAAATAAATCGTACCGTTCAAAAATTGAACGCTAACAATATATAAAATATAAAAGAATAAAAATTTGATCAATTTCGTGTTTCCTTTTCAAATGAATAGAACTTGAAAATTCCCGATTGTGAGAATAATAATTCCTGTGTGAGGATAAATTTGTTTCAATTAGTTTTCGAGAATGATCAATTTCCATTTTGCTTATTTTTATAAATAATTCGCGTATTAACAATTCATTACGGTATCCAATCAGGAAACGTTTAATTTCACAAATGATTCAAAACAAAAAGCTCGCATGAAAAATTTAATTTTTCTTTTCCAATCAATGTTCTTTCTTTCTCTCTTTTTTTTCACGAAGAAATTTTTCAAGTACGATCGAGTAGGAATTTTTCGAAAAGTGAAGTTCATTACTTCTAAACGATCCGCAAGAACCTTGGTACCGATATAATTCCTATGTCTTCTTACACGACATCTTTAATATCACGTCTCTTCTGATATCTCTTAAGTTGAATTTTAACGAAGAATTCATCTCAAAAGAACATTTCTCGCAGATTCTTCGAGCAAGTTAGCGAATGACATAAAATACGTTAGTCGAGCAATTTCCTCGATGAGTTAAAAAGCGAGTCGGTCAAAGAGAAAGAAGAGAGGAAGAAAGCTTGGTCGTTGAAAAATGCATGCCACGATAATTGACGCAGGCATTCGCCAGGCATTTCACGTCATTCATCGTTAGACGTGTATATACATATATATATATATATATTTTATACAAGGCGTTTTTCGCAGACGCACTCGTTAATAAGAACGATGAAATTTCGAAGATCTGGATCAGGTTTGGATTATCAGGTAAAACGATTAGGCTGGCGAGAGATCGCGATCGAGGAATTCCACGGAACTCGAAGAAGCCGGCAGAATTCAATTACAAAACTCTGAAGCATGATTGGACCCCAGGAATTTTAAGAACGCCGCGTATTTCGAACTAGTGAACGTTCGATTCGAAGAAAGCGTCTCGAGAAATCGGTCTAACACACTCTCGTGTGCAGTTTTTAATCTTCCTTTGCAATTTCCTTTCTATTCATAGCTGAGATTTATGTAACGTTCCCAGAACAGAATACATTGATACTGATTTAATGAGGAAAAGTTTAATCCTCGAGAAATTTGAGAGATACAAGTATCGAATTTTATATATACACATACGCGTTCTGTGAGGTTACGATAAAAATTTCTAATAATTCTAAGTTTATATAATAATCATAATTATAAAAAAAGAAAATGTAATACATACTCGTATCTCCATTGCCGAGATATTTTTTTCAACCAATTTTCCATTCCATATTCTTAGTGAAGAAAAAAAAAAGAAAAGAAAAGAACGAAGACAAGATAAAAATTGGAAAAAAAAAGAAGACAATTCCTCCATTATGTCTGGATGCAATGGTAATTCCAGAGTACGATTTCCACGTTCACCTGGAAACACCGTAATCGAGTTTTTACTTTAAGGAAAAAAAAAAAAAAAAAGGAGATTGCGAAACCAGTGGAAACGAATTCAGGTATCCACGATGAAAGAAAGGAACGGCGTCGTTTCAAAAGTGCGGGAAAATTTCATTGCTGGGATACTTGCCGTTAAAGAATGACCGAAAGTAGACCGGGGTCAGAACTCATTCCTCTTTGCGGATGTGAAATGGGAACCGGAATTATTCCCTGTGGTTGGCGAATGATCATTCGAAACTCGTTGCCACATAATTATTCGTGATGCTTGTTTCGAATTTTCGGCATAATTATATACGCACTCGTTCCTAATGGACTATTTGTCGATCCCAAAATTTTCGATGCTCGCGCGCGATTATCGAAATATTCGAGTAATTCGTTTCTCGCTACTCGTTACTATTCGAAATTGTTCTATACCGCGAAAGAAAATGCTTGGTGTATAGTATACTGTGTGTAACGTTTAATCCCGCCAGAACCGGTTAGAAATGAAAGATTTAAAACAGTATCTCGGCACTTTGCATAAAAATTTTCGACGATCAGATAAAAGCACCGCGCATAATTAAATCCAAACGGATGGCGGAAAATCTTTCTTCCTCGCGAATTTTCGACGCTCCTTCCCGAATGAAAAGGAAAATTCATCGCGAATCCCTGGCTGGCATAATGTTGCAGCATTGTGGATTGATTGTAGACGCTTTTGTATTTACTATTTTTTTTTTTTTTTTTTTTTTTTTTTTTTTTTACCACACGCGTGGAGATGCAGATTCGCGTTTACGCCTCGCTATACAGTGTTTCCAGGTCGGTCGCAATTTGAAAAACAAAATATCTCGCAATCTGCAAGATTGAGCCGCATCTTTTCACGGTTTTTTATACGTGCGAAGTTCGTGGACAGGTTAAAACTACATTTTAAACGAAATATGAAATGTTCTACAAAGTTTCGAACGCGTGTTGTAATGATCTACAAACTGTTACGGATATATCCAAAATTTTGTTTATGAATATTTCCGGGAACAATGATCCATTTGACCCGATTTTTTCCTTTTTTTCTCCCTTTTCCTCATCTTTGATATTCACCTCTGCGAAACTTTTGCCTATTTATCGCCAATCTCTCGCGATATTCCTCGCCAACGGTTATTAAAATTGCCGCGCTGGGTCGTGAGAACTACTGAATTAAGCTTTTATCCAGAAACTATGAGGTTGCGAAGCTGCTCGAACGAGAGAATACACGTAATCTTGAATAGGAACGATATCGATATTTAAGAAGCGAGATTAGTTTTCCTGGATTAAAATTATTACGTACGTTAACAATACGTGATTATTAAATTAATAAATTATGCGATATATGATACGAAGAAATAAAAGGAGGATCGAATTATTGAATTATTTGCGTACATTAAAATTCCAGAATATAATAATTGCAAATCGAGAAGAACGAAAGGAAACATTTTGAGATACATTGCGAATTGATTGTGAGACGAAATAGGATACTCTTTATAAATGCAAATGCAACATAGAAATTTCACGAGCTGATACAGATTGACTTCGACGAAACATTCCCTTCTATATATAATATCAAATATGGATTCGGGAAATTGGCGCCGTATGGCTTACAGGCAGAGTCGCTTATGGTG